TAACATGCAGGGGAGCTACATCTGTACCATGAGATCAGGAAAAACATGCTCCTGAGAGCTAGTCCAGAAACAACCTGGTTTGATTAAAAAAGAACCCCGACAAGCGCTTAGAAAGAACCCGGATCGATCAGAAAACAACCCCGAAGAGGTGCTGCAAGTACCAAGACAAATTCAGAAAGAACCCGGATTGATCAGAAAACAATGCGGATGAGGTACATACAAGTTCAGAAAAAATATAGACGAAGTGCAAACAATCTGGAAGAGGTACATCAAGAACCAGAGGTCTAAAAACAACCCGGATGAATCAAAAACAACCTGGAAGAACATCACGGCTTAGTCAAACGCTAAGCTCGGTAGCTCAGCATACGCTTCAACTACACCCGGGGGCTCGAATTCAAGGGCGAAAGACCAAGAATACAAGTACTTAAAACTACAACAAACGACAACACATCAAGACCCTTCATCCGATATTTTTTTGAAAGAAAAGAACTCGGAGAAGGCTCGGGGGCTGCGGGATACATAACCCCAGAAAATTTTTAAGACAAGAATCTGGACCCTCCAACTTTTGCAAGCAAAAGCAAGAGGCTCGAGGGCTACACTCAGTGGGTGCAATTTTTCACCGAAAAAGAACTCGAAGCAACCAAGAAGACTAAAGGGACCCTCTGGCTTCTTGTCCCAACAAGCAAGAGGCTCGGGGGCTACACTCACTGAGTGCACTTTTGTCCAAAAGTGCACATCAGCCGAAGAAAAGACAAAGAAGACCATCTCAAGATCTCGCTTCAAGAAAGAACCCAGAACAAGTCTACAACAACCTGGCCCTTGAAGCTCAATCATGAAATGCTCGGGGGCTTGTCGATGCGGGGTCCCGCACAGAGAAGAGAGAAGAAAACCTAGTCCAAATAGGATTCTCTACATGTAATCCTATTAGGACTAGTTACACATAATCCTACTAGGATCTCTACTTTGTAACCGACTAAGACTCCCGCCTCTCCTGGACTATATAAAGGAGGGCAGGGGTCCCTAGATCGATCACCTACAGAAGAACACACCATACAGCACACAACAAAAGCCTCTAGATCTCGATAGAGATTAAGAGGACGACATAGCGCAAGGCGCAACATACTATCTACTCCACACTGGACGTAGGGCGCCGTGATTTTCCGGCGTAGCGAACCAGTATAAATCGTTATCTCTCTGCGTTTACCACCGAGTTCCTACATACGCCGATACCCCTCCAAACAAATCACCGCCCCGGGTACCCCCGTGGCGGGTTGCCGGTGGTAAAACATCGACACTTATCTGTTGAACATGTCGTCTTTTCGTAAGCCAACATTCTGCACCATACAACATAGCAGGTCTAATCGTCGTCCTATAAAACTTGCCTTTTAGCTTCTGTGGTACCCTTTGGTCACATAAGACACCAGATGTTTGGCGCCACTTCATCCACCCTGCTTTGATTCTATGGCTAACATCTTCATCAATATCCCCGTCTCTCTGTAGCATTGATCCTAAATATCGAAAGGTATCCTTCCTAGGCACTACTTGACCTTCCAAACTAATATCTTCCTCCTCCCGAGTAGTAGTGCCGAAGTCACATCTCATATACTCAGTTTTAGTTCTACTGAGTCTAAAACATTTGGACTCCAAAGTCTCCCGCCATAACTCCAGTTTCTGATTCACTATGATGTTCTATATAATATACACCAAAAAACAACAAATACATACTTTTTATCAAAGTACTTTTTAAGATTAATCTATGCATGTTGTCTTAGTGTCTTCAAACTAAAAATTTTAAAGGTTATTGACTGTCAAAGTTGTAATAGTTTGACAATAACTTGTCCAAAACAACATGAATTATGGAGTATGTGGAGAAAGTATAGATGCAAGACTTAGGTTCATTAAGAGAAATAGATAACTATGACATGTGCTCCATTATAAAAAAGTGTTAAGACAGATATAGCCCATTGGGCCGCAGGGGCATGTGCCCCACCTGGCTTCTAGCGGGTGCACCTCTTACAGATTGATTTATTTGTATTGATAGGTAAGGACATCCAACGGTGGTCGTACTTGTATAAACCAACCCTAGGTCGTCCTTGTCTAAAAATTTACCTGTACTCTACAACCCACAATCAATCTATTAATCTTCCCCGCAATACTTGCTTTCAAAAAAAGTATCTAAACACTGCACAAATATAGCATTCCAGTAAGTATGTTGCACTTCCTTGGTCTAAATGCAGAATAAAGAATACTCACAATATCAAGATAGTATGATATAATTAATTATTGATAAAAATGTGAACTACATTTGTTTTGAGGAAAAACAAACTACTTTTGTCAAGAAAAAAAAACTTAACTACTTTATTATCCCAAAAAAATAAGTAGTGATGTCTACCTACCACATTCAGTAGCCTTCATAATTGCATTACTAAGAAATGGCACTTTGGAACACATGGCTGCAACTACCTGGTTCAAAAACAAGACATGAATTGAATCTACAGAGAAAGATATCTTAATTATTGTCAATTCTCTGGATTTGAATCCAAACATAAAGGAAATGTGTCTATAAATAGTGATAAATTTGCAAGGTGCAATAATGCTTACAGGTGGGGGAGTTACTTCAAGTGATGGAAAATGGCATTTTGGAAGGATCAAGGAATGCCTGTAGGGTAAATAATGGTGAGCAGTAGCATGAAGCAAAAGCCAAATGCACTGTAAGGAAAACCTATGTTATCTCTTAAAGTTCCTCACATTATGAAAATACCACCAAAAGGTTCTGCTTTATTTTTAATACCATGAAAAGGCTCACAGCACATGCTCCTCATTATCTCCAAGAGTCAAGCAACAGAACAAGTGAAAATTTAGAAAAAAAATTGCCATATGGATTCCTCACTTCGCTCACAGAATTTATCCACTATTAACCTATTCCATATGGTGTATGCAAGGATTCATAAGAAATTGGCACCAGGATTTGAAATATGCACCACAAGGCAATGACAAAGCCTTCTCTTATAGATGAGCCAAAGAAAATCTTAGATGAGCCATTGCCAAAATAAATGAAACATGGAGCAAGACAACAAAGTAGTGTGTTTGACTGGTGTGTTCCTTCACCACAGACAGCTGAGTATGCAATAGTGTCAGGCATGCTGCATGCAGATGTGTCCGATACTATTTCAAAAAAAAAATGGTTCACAAGAAAACCTCTGAAACAAAACTCCACAATTGGAGAGACAAAATACAAACACATGTTGTTGCATAAAAAAAATCAGCATTACACTTGGTTGTTCCTGCTATAGTTCAGGCATCAATCAATATTGTATACTCCTATATCCGCTAATAACAGTGTTAGAAGATATAAGTAAACCATCAAATAAAGAAACTATCATTTTGAAATGTATAACAAATATTAAAAGCAGTAATGCACGGAAACCATAGAAAAAAGTTGCAAGCAAGATACCCAGGAGCCAATGGATGAGAATCCAATATGCAGAGGCATACATCATCTTCGTAGACCTGCAAACAGGACAAAAAAATACTGGTCAAAGGAAATATATCGATAAAATGTAACCAATGCTTTTTATAAGGTAGGATGAAATCTGACACAGATTCATCAGATAGAAAGTGAATCCATTCTACCTGTAATTCACACAATACTCCATGATCGCTTACAGTTGGAAATAATCCTGTGTGTCTAGGTGTTGCTAGTGTCTAGGTTCATAGCCTTTACTTTAGCTAAATTTCAGCATTGAGTAATAGGCTTTTTATTTGGGTAATATTGTACATGAATTAGGACGCTATCACAGCCACAAATGTAGCTCTCAGCACTGTATAAAGCTAGGAGGAAAATCAGAAAAGGCAAAGTCATTCAAGCCACCAAAACCATTGTGTTTGTGTATGTGAGTTTCTGGTGATCTGTGAGAGGCTATTTGCCTTTCAATAACAAAATCAATTTCTTCATCTAGTTCATCTATTTCTATTTAGGGATTTAGGGACCTCTCCCCCGATCTTGATTGCACTGGAATAGACTTATCAACCATTTACAGCATAATGTTTGGAAATCACTAAAATAAGCACAAAACTACCTCCTATTACAAGTCCATCAATTTTACATAAACCAAAGCGACACCCTCTCTCCCTTAAACCAATTTTACATAATAGAAACCATTAAAAAATCAACAGACAGTCCATATATCCAACTTAATCCCATGTAGCACCAAATCAAACTTATAAGTGTTATGAGCTGACCATTCTCTAGAGTGTCTTTCCAACAAGCCAAATAAGGCCATCCTGTGGTCCTGAGACCTAAAAACATTCTTCCTTCACTTCGCTTTTAGTTCCTGCTTCCCCAACCACTTGCTATGTGATTTCTTGAGTTTACTTTCAGTAATTGTTTTAAATTGATAACCAGTCCAGTTGAAACTTTATTTTTCATGGTACCTACATTGATCATCGGTAGCTTTATTCCCATAAAATGAACCTGATGATCAACACAACCAGATAACATGATGCTTCTTCACGAAACACATCGGGAACAGTCTCAAATATGTATGTGAATATTTTGTTCATGTTGCAGTCCATGCACAAATGTAAGCTACCTCCAGAAATTTGTGAGCTTAAAAAAAATCAGAGGTTTTCATTTCACAGATCCATGAAGAAAACTGGGCTGACAATACGCATAAACTCCTGAAAATTTTCTGGACCAGAAGGACAAATTTACATACCGCTGGAGAACTTATCAAGCTAGTTCCATAGCATGAAACCATGAGGTGGTCGTCAGAGGGAAAATGGCATAAACTAGTTTTTAAAAAATTGATCAGTACATCACGTGAACAATGACAGTGTGTAACAATCAAAATTCCTAAGATGGTATCATAAATTTCATAAACAAAAATCAGCCACTGTTGTACTCAGCGCCTATGAAGAGAAAATGGAGAGGTTTCTGGCTCCACCTCTGGTTGTACTGACTACAAAACTACCCGCATGAGACATGAGTTCTTTATTTGTCAATTTTTCTGCAACAGAAAACTAGAGATTTATGCAATTATCCATCCAGAACCCTACTTTCGAGCCAGAAGAGGAAGGATGTCCGAACAAGCATTGCCGCACACTGTTTACATATCCGAGTACTCGGTGTATTGAGGTTCACAGCAGCACGCGGGGAATGCTATACTGACATCGAGCAAGCCTTAATCGACAGAAACAAGAAACAGAGCAGTCACACAACGCACCTTATACGCCGGCTCATGGCCGCGTATGATGCGGCAGAACACGCAGTCGGCCGCATCGCCATCCCCGGCCCCATCGCCCCCGACTCCGTTGGCGCACGTCGACGTTGAGACGCCCCCCGCCCCCTCCACAGTTTCCTCGGCGGGCGGAGCCGGGCCGTCGGGCCGGAGGTGGGAGCAAAGCACGGCTAGACGCCGCGGCGAAGACATTTCAGGCGTGGGCGATGCAGCCTTCGGGGGAAGCGGACGTGTGGGGCCCGCGTCGCGTACCTTCTGGGTTTCCCGTCTTTTGCGAGGAATTCGATTTCGGGCCTTGTTGAAATGGATAGTTGCCATTGTGCCCACCATCCTGCTGACGGCAAGAGGAGGGCGAAGCTGTTCCGTGCACTGGAAAGGAGGGATGAAACCGCATCTGATACAGATGGCCAGTGATCATGCACTACGTCCCACAGGGCCATATCCCGTATTGTATCTCATATTTTTTTTATCGGATCATAGAACCGGATATGGATTTAACTATCTCATGTACATATCCACGTCCCACAGGGCCGTATCCCGTATTATATCTTATATTTTTTTATGGGATCATAGAACCAGATATGGATCTAACTATCTCATATACATATTAGAAATCTGATTTTGAGTATTTATATTCGGATATGATCGAATACTAAATGTTCAGATTCAGATACGGACTATCCATATAGGTTTTGATCCTTTTGGGATAGACAGATATCGAAAAATATCCTCCCGTTTTTATCCCTACTGGAAAGTCACTTTATAAATTGCACACAAGCACACTCACGGCACTCACTTGACTCGTAAGCTAACTCTAGGCATTTTTTTTTATATTTTAATAGAGAAAAAAACTAGTTCTTGATAAAATAAACTAGACTCATACAACACATTTTAAAATCAAGTGAGAGTGTATCATGAGCCATTGCTAAAAGGTAACACTATTGGAGATTAGCTTAGAGCTAGTAACTAACTTTTACTGTTGCAGGTGCCCTTAGACCTATTTGGCAGAGCTGACTCTCTGCCAAACAATTTGTGTGTCTAAATTTTCAGTAACCATACTGGAGTAATGCTCAATTACCAAATTTCTATCTTAAAAAGGAAGTCAGGAACAGGAGATGTGGTGAACACTCAAAATCAAGCAACGAGGACTGCAGAAGTAGAGTAGAATAGTAGAACAAGTATGAAAATGAGATGTATTCATAGGAGGTCGCTAGCAGCTTGCTTTGCTGCTGAATCGTCCATTTCCTGCACCTTGCCCCTGCATCGTTGGAGCTAGCTGCAGCCGTGGCGGACTGGTGGGTGCTCCCGGAACGACGGTCTGGACTGGAGAAGTCGATTGATGACCCGGAGGGGGTGGGGGAGGCTGCCGAGCAGTAGCGCACCTCCTGCGCGGCGCGCGTGTGCGCAGCAGGCGACGGGAGGGGGCGGGGGCTCGCCGGCAAGAAGTGGTGAATCTCCTGCACGGAAGGCGGTGCAAGGGGGCGGGGGCTCATCGCCAGCGGCAGGTGAGTGGTGAGCTAGTGGCGCATCTCTAGCGCGGGAGGCAGCGCGTGTGCGCAGGAGGCGGGCGCCGTGCAACCATGGGAGGAGTCGAGGCTAGGGGCCCTTTGGATTGAAGGTTTCTCGGAGGAAAAATTAAGGACTCTGGTTTCTATAGGAAAGTACACTGTTCAACAGAATTTGTGCATAGGAAAAGCATACTCTCTCCGTCTCATAATATTTGCACATTTAGCATCCAAATTTTTTCCCATAATATTTGCACACACATTGCCTGATTGCCAGATGAACCAGCCGGAGGGACCAGATTCAAGTAACAGGACTACAGCAGTAATAGCACATCCACTAGAGGTCCAGAGGGGGAGATTAAAAACAAACTTGTCAAAAAAAAAAAGGAAAAGAAAAACAACAGAGCTCCTAGAAACTCCCTCATCCACTCGTTTGTTTAACCTGTCTGGACTTCCGTACAAGGCCACCGAGGCTCTGGATCACCTCAGCCCAATGTGTGTAGGCGTATTTTTGTAATTCCAACTTAGTATTATTGGTTTGTGTGTCCACCCTTAGAAGTGTATTTATTTATAGACGGATGCAGTAGGAAAGTTTTCTATGGTGCTGATTTTATAGGAAAACTGTAGAAAAAAAACATGCAATCCAACTTCTTATTTTCTTTTTAGTCGCATAAGATCGGGGCAAATCAAGGTATGAATCGCTAATGCAAAAGCCTAATTCATGATCAGGAGATGCGGGAGTGCTGGACAGCTGCCGGCCTCACTACCGATTACCGAAGGAATAACGGAGCACGTGGTTGTCTCAGATGGTCAGACTACCTTTTAATATAATATACATAGTATATTGTTCTTTTTTTTAAATATACTATTCTTTAGAGATAATATTTACAAAAAAATGTTTTATTGGCTAAAGTAATATGATAGGTGATTGTAAGATTCCTAAGCATTCAATTCCTACTAATTTTCTCTGTCCGTCCAAACAACAAATCAATCAAAGTTTCCTATGGTTTTCAATCATATGTTTCCGGTTGTAATCCTATACTATTCTTACGTTTTTTCTATTCCTATATTTTTCTAATCCTACGTTCCAAAAGAGCCCTAGACAGGGCAGATAAGGGAGCGCTGGTTGGGTGTGCCGTATCCCAGAGGCATGTACTCGATATTTCCTAAATTAAACAAAAACAGGATACTCGAATGGTACGTATCCAAGCCGTATCGATGACGTATCCGTATCAGATATGTATCCGATAACACGATACGGCACCTTCCTCACGTATCCGTGCTACAGAGTTTAATAATCTACTAGATATATGCCTATACATTGCACGGGCCAGAAAATGTTGTCCATGTCTACAGCAAGGCCCGTGGCTCTCATGGCTTATTAGATGACAAACATATTTTAAAAAATACAAATCTAGTTACATAGAAATACAAAAGTATGTTTCTTAACGTTTATCACCTATATATATATCGCGTTGACGTAGTCTGTAGAAACCTAACAAAATTAGTTTCACTTTTTTAATTAATACTTGTGTGATTTATTATTATGCATTTTATATTTTAAGCTGATTTGACCATTTTTAGAAGATAATAAAAAGAGCTAATAATCATTTTGCATTTGGAATCCTAAACTATTTTTAAATCTATTCATGCATTTTTTCCTCTTTAGTTATAAATCAATTGGAACCGTATTCTCTTTCTATTTACTCTCCACATCCTCTTTTTCTACTCTAGAGGCTAGAGCGCCTGTTCCCGAGCATATTTTTTCTGATTTGTATTCTTTTTTTGTTCACATATTTCCTTTTTCTTTCTTTTGAGTTTGGAGAGTAAGGTACATCTATCTATATATTCTAAAGGACAATTTTGGTTGAACTATAACAATATATTCCTTGCTATTCTGTTATTCTTCTTCAATTTTGGAGGTTAAAAATATGTGTTCCATGTGTTGTGTGATTTTGTGACGGTAAATTATGAAAATTATATCCAGCAAGTCAAATTTCTCCGTTAGACCTGAGCGATATAGTACATCGAGAATTTTCAAGAAATGACAAACGGGTCCAATATAATGGAGCCGGCAAGTGATGAAGGCGGTCCACCGTACCCTTGCTGAGACTAATGGGCCACGAGTGGGTCGTTGCTGCACTGCACGTGCGCAGGGGCGGGCGGGGAGCATGCACTCGTGATGTATAATAAAGCCTGTGCAGCACCGCTTATCTGACATTGATTCGTCGTGATCGCTGTTGTCGGTCGTCCTTCCGTGACTGATTCTTCCATGCAGTTATGCAGTTGAGAAACCATTGTCCTCGGACAGCATGGACCAGTTGAGAAACCATTGTTCGGCTGGTGGTGGCGGGCTGGCTGGGCTAGCCAGCCCCCTCACATGGATACTGTTTACATAAATTATGTTTTTTAATTAGAACAGTATTTTCTCTCACACAAATCAACTAGCAGTATTTCTTCACGAACCAGCCAATCGAAGAGGCTGCATTTTGCGCACCGCTTTTTTTCTGGGGTGGCGTGGCGGAGTCTGACGCGCGCATGCATTGGTGCAAGGGGCGAGCGGGTCGAGCGAGGAGCGCAGGCAGAAACGTACCTGTTGATGGAAACTGATCGGAGCTTGTTTTGGGGATAGTGAGCCTTCGTATCAGACTCGATCGGAGTTGACATATCACATATGCATTCATGTGCTTGTCTGTATTTGTGGTCGGTCATCGTATCGATCGTCAACTGACTCGCCGCCCTGCCCCGTACGTGTGCATGCACGTGCCTGGCCAATAAGATGTATGCGTGCATGCGCATGATCATTGCTCATCTTCGATTCTGTGCCAGCTATTTGGTTCCTAGCATGCATGCTAGCTGCGTATCAGACTCGGTCGACGGGTGCTTAGCCTTCGTATGAGACTCGGTAGTAGTTTGGAGCGGAGTTTTGACGGGATCGGGCACTCATATATACTCATATCAGACTCAGAGTTTTGATGATCTGGCGGATCGGTCACTCATACGTACTCGTAGCAAACTCGGAGTTTTAACGATCTGGCGTACGTGGGCGGGGTTAACGCGGGCGGGGGCGCAGACGATAGACTTATGAATTTTTTAGGTGTAGAAGAAAAACTTTGGTACTCAAGGACTGGTGTTTGGTTGCTGGTCTGCATATTCTATTTTGCTTTCTCCAATACACGCCAATCCTTGAAAAACTCGTTCTTCAACTCTGTAAGGTAGATATGCCTCTTAAGTATGATTGGTGTTGCCTATCTAGAGCCATGATGCTCTATTGATCTTCCAGAGCGTTTTATTTTCTGCAGAGACCCAAAGCAGCAGTCCAAATGAGAGGCAGCAATCTTATGGAACAGTCACTTACACTCAGACAACTTAAGATAGTTGAAGTTAGATGTCCAATAATCAGTGATAGTGTTCACAATGTTTTGAAGGTATTGCGCTCGATCGTGCAGCACATGCCTCGCTCAAGTTATTGTCCTGGAGATTTGAAATGTAAGTTTAAATTTGCTAACATGTTATTGTTCTTCAGTTTATGTTTTGTACAAAAACAGGGTAATTAGCAAATCAGTGATAGGGTTGTACGAATTCATTGGAAGCTATAAACTTCCAAATCCAACACTGTGTGAAACTATGGTCAGGGACTGGTGTTCTACCATATTGGATTACTCATTGTTGCCAAGTACTTGTATCTTGTGACTACAAAATGGTTTCACAATGATTGACATTTTCTTACTCGTGAGGTAAATTATGCAACATAGCCATACATGTCTGTACTCTCGCTTATTTAGGTCCTCGCAATTTTACTAGCCATATTAT